TGCTCCACCACTGAGATATATCCCAAACTCTTTTTTAAAAAGAAGTTTTATTTTGAGATAGTGTTTGGCTAAGTTGCCTAGAATAACCTTGAATGTATATCCTCTTGCCTTAGCCTCCAGAATAACTGGGATTATAGGTGTGTACTACCATGCCTGGTTTAAAATCACAGGTTGGTTATTCTAATTTCTTATGAGGATGTCCTGGGGCAGAGAGCCTAGGACAGTGGGCAGTCCCGTGAAAGCGAGGGTCCGAGCTCCTCCTGGCGGCTCCTCCTTGCGGCTCCCCCACCCTTCAGCTCTTTTGTCCTGTCCTCATCCCAGGCCTGGAAACCAGCTGAATAGGGTATGGAGAAGTGCCCAGACCACATGCCAGTTCTCTTTTGAGGTGGTTTCCAGAGGTTTCTGTCTCTGTGTCCCATGACCACAGCTTGCTGTAGGGGAGGCTAGAGGCGCATCTGTCTGGTGGCCTTCTGCCCTGCTTAGGGGTCTTCATTGGGGAGCAAGGGGTAGGGGTACTGGGATAGGCAGCCTGCAGTTGTGGTATTTGTGTAGCCTCTAGAACTTAGTAAAACTTTGCCTGTCTTTTGTGCTTTTTCTCAGAAAAGAGTTTATATCGTCTTTTAAAACATTAAAAAAAATATTTTGAAAGCAGCCTGTGACCCTAAAATGTCTTAAATCCACCAATACAGAATTTGGTGGGGTGGCATTATCTGACTGAGGACTGCTGCCTTCATTAAGAAGTGTAGTTTATCCCTTAGCTAGTCTTGGCTTTGCTGCTTAGGTTGGAAGAGAAGACAGGATTTATGGCATGTGAGGTATGGATGCTCAATGTGACTGCCTGGCAACCTTCCCTCAAGTCCTGACATGGGTTAGCACCATCACACACTAGGCCTAGAGGCTCACCTGGGTCAAGCAGGGTGGAGCTGGTTACCGGGTAGATGGCCGAAGACAGTCCCAGCGCTGGCCTTGGGCACTGCAGTTTGGAGACTACCATGGTATCTCCTGGGTGGCCTTTGTCACACCTGTGGAGAGATGATGTTTCATTTGTGTTGTGCGTTACTAGGCACACAGAAGGCTGAGGATGCCACTTGATGATGTCCTGTGCACTCTGAGTAGGCTTGTGACCTTTTTTCTATTGCCATGAAGGAAGGAAATTAGCTCTTTGGCCTGTGTGCAACAAATATTTTTTCCTAGTTTGTTTGAATTTTCCCTTTTAAAATGTCCTTTTTATTGAGTATGATGTAGACATAGAAATCAGAAGAGGGAAGGTGGACTAGGACACCTCCTAGGCCGCTCATGCCCCCATTACTACCCAGGCCAGGAGCGTGTGGCCGGCCACCCTTCCTCTTGGCACGCCCTTGCTTCTGTGGGACAGCACCTGTCTTCAGAGCTCCACTACCCAGGTTTCTACTCTTCAGTCCTGTAGTTTTGTCTGTTTTTGTTTAATGTTTGAAGTCTCCTTTAATTTCTGCACGCCTCTTATTATGGTGGGATCTAGAACGTCCCCCAAAGGCTCACGTGTGAAAGGCTTGGTCCTCAGTGCTGACATGTTCAGGCTGGCCTCTTGGAAAGTGATTGGATCATGAGGGCCCTTATCTTATCAATGGTTCAATCCTTTGATGGATTAATAATTGATGGCTTTGATGGGAGGTGGTGGAGACTGTAGGGGCTTGGGATCTTGTTGGAAGTAGGCTAGAGGCCTCCAGTAGGAAGTAGGTCACTGAGGCTGTGTCCTGGAAGAGTGCATCTGCTTCTCGCTCTCTGCTTCCTGGCCACTGTGCGCAGGGCACCTGCCTCCCTTCCACCCTTCCACCATGATGTTCTGCCTCCCTCAGGCCCAGAGCAACGCAGCCAGCCGACCGTGGGCTGGACCTCTGAAATGGAGAGCCAGAATAGACCTGTCCTCCCCTGAGTTGCTTTTAGGTGTTTGTCACAGCAGTGAAAAGCTGACCAGTGCATCCGTGGTACTCCCCACCCCAGTACCGCTCAGCTGTGGTTTAATGGGTTATTTGTGGCATGCCCCCAGTCTGGGTTTGCTTTGCTGTCTGAATCTCTGCGGTGTTGTTCAGCAAGTTCTCCGGACCTCTCCATTTCCTGTGAGGGGTAGCATGGCTGTTCCACCCTTGCCGTGGGTCACTTCTAGTACGCCAACCCTAAGTGTAAAGTAGTTTGTTGAGCTGAGTGCGATGACACACACCCGTAGTCCCAGTAGCTCAGGAGACTGAGGCAGGAGGATCGTGAGTTCAAAGTGAGCAAAAGTGAGGCACTAAGTAACTCAGTGAGATTCTGTCTCTAAATAAAATACAAATAGGGTTGGGGATGAGGCTCAGTGGCTGAGTGCCTGGAGTTCAATCCCGGTACTCGCACCAAAAAAAAAAAGGTCCTTTGTTGAAAATGCATCAGTGCTCCATCCTGCCGAGCACCCTGGCTAGCAGCATAGCACACCAAGAGCAGTGGGAACCTTCAGGGTATACACCTTGGCTGCCCATCATCAGCAGAGGGTCAGGAAAGACCAGTATTTGAGTGTGGTTCCTACTGAGTGTGTGTCACAACCATCAGAAAGTTAAAACAGTGAGTGAAACCGCTATAACGTGGAGCAGTCTCTTTAGTACTGCAGAAGGTGCTGGGCTCAGTGATACAGCGCTTGCCTTGCAGGTGTGAGGCCCTAGGTTCGATCCTTAGCGCCACATAAAAATAAATAAATGAAGATACTGTGTCCATCTACAACTAAAAAAATAAAAAACAAAATGTTAAAAAAAAAAAAAAAGCTGCAGGAGGTCACTGAGCGCCAGTGTTCTGTGTGGTGAGCTCCCCTGGGCAGGGTGTATCCTCACTAATGAGGCAAACCACGTGGTTCTTTCTGATATTAGCAGCCGTGCCTTTCCAGGGTCCAGAGTCCTAAATTATTAGGAATTGCAAAATTATGGCCGTTTCTTCTTCATTTCTCTGCTGTGATAATTCTGTTCAGAGGAGTGACACAATTTGTATAGGAAAACAGGATAAACGCTTGATATATTATTACTATTTAAAAAAAATTATGCTTAGTTCCCCAGTACCCTCCAAATTAATGAATTTTAAAATATTTCTATTTAACCCCATTGCAACTACCATCCTTATTGATGGTCAATTTGTTCCCCCTTTGAGGAGGACTGGCTTCTTCTCGTTGGCCCCTGAGTCTTTTTGACACAACTCTGTGGTCTTTCTTTAGATCTGACATTGCAGGTGTTCTAGGCTCACCTTGTGTATTACTGGCCTCAGACTGGGAATCAGACATGTCTCCATGTCTCCATGGTCTCCTTAGGGGAGAGACGGCTTTTGGCACCATAACCTGGGCTCCAAGGGTGCAGGTGGTCACCTGTTGATTGCTGTTTCCATACTTCTGTAGTAGACAGAGGTGGAGTGTATATGAACTGCATGGAAGTTTGTACTTGGATTTCAGTTCTTAGCCCCCAGGCGTTTCCTTGACTCGGATTGCTGTACCTGCTTCTCCAGGCTCTTAAGGACATTAGGAATGATAATAGCACTCATTTGTACACAGAGCATTCCCAGAAGGGAGTGTAAACACTACTGCTCAATATGATTGCTGAAATTGTTACAGTTGGGTATGGGCTTCCCATTTTTCTCCCATTTAGGTGTTCCGCTCTGCCGTGTTGGGAGCGGGTGTTGTCCACGCTGTGCTGTCTCCTTTGTGGGATTTGTCTGGGCCTACCCTGCGTGTGGGTTCAGAGCTCACCACTGACCTCCTGTGCGCCTCTTCCAGGGGTTGAGTCCTGAAGTTGTTTTTTAGCATGTTCTTCAGGAAGTGCTCATGGGATGCTACCTACTGAGTGCAGCAGCATGTTGGTCACAGCTTGTTCCTTTATGCTTGAGAGTGATCTTGTCTGGTGTAGAATTCTTAGCTCATTTCCTTTCCTTTTGTATTGTAAATATGTTGGTTCATTCTCTTCTGTTCTGATGTAAGCATCTAATTTTCTTACCATTACTAAGTCATTTAGTCTTTTGCCTGGATGTGTAAAGAAATTTTTGAGTAGCATTTTTACATTTTTATTAGAATGTATCCCCCACCTTAGTGGTTTACACCCCCCCCCCCCCCCCCCCCCCCCCCGCAACGGCTTTTGGGAGAGTTTTCTTTTTTTCTGTTCCTGTTTCTGGGAGTTGATGGGGCCTTATATTTTTCTATCACTGAGCTGCCCCTGGCCCAGGAGAGTTTTCTTGTATTGCGTTTTTAGTATTTCATTTGATGGCTTTGGTTTTCGCCTGTAGAGTCTCCTCTTAAATGCATGTTGGGTCTTTTTTTTACTCTCTTCTGTGCTACCTTTTCTTAAAACCTTTTCATCTATTTCTCTTCTTTACATTCTTAAAATTTTATTCATTTCTTTCCTTTTTGTATTTGTATTCTATTGTGTTATTTGCTCGGGTTCCTTCTAATCGAGTCTTTCTGAAATTACTTATTAAGATTTGAGTTGATAGACTGTACTTGGGATAATGTGGCCTCACTTCTGTTTTTGGAAAACAAAGTCTCTTGAGGCCTAATCCCAGTGCCATGTGGTGTGGGAGCAGGCATGGAGGCATTCTGGACATGGGACCAGAGGTCACATTGGAGACCAGTGGTGCTGTGCAGCTAGGACACTGTCTTTCTAGGGTGTGGCAGTCAGAGCAGGCTGAGGCCTGTGGGGAGCAGGTAAGGGCAGGAGGTTGCAGGAGGCAGGTGGGGTGATGTTCCCCAAACCCACACTAGGAAGCTGGCTTTGAAGGTGACCACAGAGTGGAGTGGGAAAGCAAGGCTGTTCAGTGGGGTTGGGCCTGCCCTTGAGAAGAGCCCACGTGGTGCTGCCAAGCTGGGTCTATATCTCAGAGTGGGCCCTGCGTGGTCCGGGCACGAGGCATCCTGTAGTTCAGACCCATAGTACGGAGCTCCCCAGCACATGTGGTGGGAGTTTGTTGGCTTACATGTCATACTTGTTAATGTTCCTCTCTGCTTTCTTGGTTTTGTTTTGTAGGTGACAGACACCCAGCGCCCTGTGAGCTGGACCCCTGCTTGCGGGCCGGCCCCTCTCTGCTCCTTCTGGATGATGTCAGAACAGGACCTAGCGGATGTGGTTCAAATCGCAGTGGAAGACCTGAGTCCTGATCATCCAGGTACAGAGCTGTGGGACAGTAGGTGAAATATTATTTTCTTTATTCCAGTAGTTTTCTTTCTTTTAAATTAAGCAGAGGCAACAGTGACGCATGCTGCATATGAGAATTCAAGTCATGGGGGCTGGGGCTGGGGCTGAGGCTCAGCGGTAGAGCGCTCACCTAGCACGTGTGAGGCACTGGGTTCAATCCTCAGCACCACATAAAAATAAATAAATAAAATAAAGATATTGTGTCCAACTACAACTAAAAAAAAAAAATTAAAAAAATTAAAAAAAGAGAGAATTCAAGTCATGGTGGGTGAACAGTCAGCCCTCCTTGACTTATTTGACCACTCTGGCCCCCAAGTCCCTTCCCAGATGTGCAACTGCCCAGCACCTGCCCTCTCTGCACATCCTGCCACCTGCGTGCACTCTCTGACAGGCATATGGGTCCACCATGCGAGCCTGTGGCTCTTGTGGTCCACGCCTTTCTATCTCCAACTTGCCCTGTGTAGAGGCTGATAGTTTGAGCGACTGTGGAAGCTGTGTGTTGGTGAGAGTGAGTGAGGCTGGTTCTTCTTTTATCAGCCACGTGGTGTTCTATGTGTGGACATCCCCTGGTGTGTTGAGCTCTGCCCTCTGGAGGGCCATTCCATGCTACTTGCTGCTTTTCTTTTGTGTACAGTCATGTAGGGAAGAACCCTGCACCTATGTCTTAGCAAATGTTTTTGTAGGGTAAGTTCCCAGAAGCAGGATTGCTGAATATATTTAACTTTTTTTTGTTACCAGGTATTGAACCCAAGGGCACTACACCTCCAGCCCTTTTTATTTTTCATTCTGAGAGAGGGTCTTTCTAAGTCTCCCAGACTGGCCTGGAACTTATAGTCCTCCTGCCTCGGCCTCCCGAGTCACTGGGATCACAGAGGGTGCCCCTGTGTCTGGCTTGTATATGTTTAGTGCTTTGGTAACACACTGACAGATTTTCCAGAACAGCTTGACTGACTGTGCTGACAGTGCTTGAGCACTACCTTCCTCTTGTCTGCTAAGCAGGCACTTTCTTTATGATACTGTACTGTGAGGCCTTGCATAGAGGTGACCCTCAGCATTACAGGAGCCTCCTCTGAAGAAACTTTGCCTGTACTTACTCATGCTACAAGAGTTCTTAGTAGGCTGTAGACTTGTGTATTTGCAGCTTGGCTGGGCTCAAAGTGACAAGAGCACTATCACTGAGTGTCTTGGTTGCCTGGACATTCTTCAGGAATGTTAGAACTCAGAGCAGTTTTAGTCTGTGAGAAAGAATGCTGTCTCACTTGCGTGGTGTTGAGGTGTAAATAGTTGGAGAAACTCTCTGGAAGTCACTGTGGTATGGAGGATCTCAAAGAGCAGAGCTGGGGGTGTGAGAGCAGCCGTGGGGTGCTGTTCCCCAGTCATTTGACTCATTACAAGATGCATCATCACTACACCTACCAGTTTTAGAAATGTCCATTCGTACCTGGCAGGTGAATGACTGTTTCTTTAGAAAACACATATACGTACTGCAATGCTGTGAAGAAAAAGGTTCATCACCTGTTTTCAGCAGCTTTGAACATTAAAGTTCCGACAGTTCTGCCTCCCAGGTAATCTTTTTGTAGAATATGCCCAGAGAAGGCTGGGGACCCTTTCATCCTGATTGTGTCACATTCTTGTTCCTTAAATGATGGGAGGTGTAGTTCCTGGCCTGTTTGTGAAGCTCCTCCTGTGTGCAGAGGTCCTGCGGTCTGTCTGCACATGGAGCTTGCCACCTCTGGTCCAGAAGCACGTGCACACACCCTGCAAATGCCCTGCATCCCACGTCTGCATCCAGAGTAGGTTCATGGTTAAGATTCTCCCTCACCAAAAAAATGACATAGTGCTTAAGACATAGGCAGTCCAGTAGGAGCCCAGTTGGCAGGCAGGGTGGGCCGAGGCCTGTCCTGGGTGTGGCCAGTGGAGATGCTATGGGCATTGGAACCAGCTGTTGGAAGTGAGGGAGCAAGGATGAGTTCATATGGGAACCTGGGACTAGCCTGAGAGTGCTTGCATTGATTTAACTCACATGCCTTGGCCACACGCGTACCACTAACTTCCTTGAGACTAGGAAATGCAATCTAGAACATTCCCAGGAGTGAGAAGCAACGATCATACTGAAGAGCTTTGTGACTTTTCCATATTACCTTCTTATTACTTTTGAATGCCCCACAGTATATAAATACAAGTTGGATTGATTCGGCATCGGGCATGTGTATTAGTTTTTCTGATGCTGTGTAACATGACCAAAATGTGTGAAAGACAGTCAAGAAAGAAGAAGTAAGAATCTCTCAAGAGTCCTGGCAGCCTAGCTGCTTTTAGATGGTGTGTATGTTCTCCCAGTTTTTGTTTTTTTTTTTCCAGTAATATTCAAGACAAAGATTTCTAGGTTCCTTTGATCTTGCATGTACCTATCACATGTTGTATTTTACCTTTCTGAAAGTAAGATTGTTGATTTCATCAGGCCTGTTGTTCCAGTTGATCCTGATGGCTTTAAAATGAACAAGGAGTCGTTTTGTTTAATACTGAAGGTAATGCATGCATAATTGTAAAGAGCAATGTGTGCAAAGATAGCAAAGTGCAGTGGAGAAAATAACTGCCACTTGCAGTCCCACTCCTGGTAGAAAGGTCCTGTGGGAACGCTGGCATGTGTACCTCTCTCTTCTCCAACTAGAACACTGCCTGTGACATACTGGCTTTGCTGACCTTTGCTTACAGCTGTGAGGTACTCCATGTTACCAAGGGGCATGCATTCATTCTTAATTTCTTTAGTTAAAAAGAAACCAGCTGTGTCACCCCTGACAAGTCTCTGAACCTTTCTGGAATTTAGAAGGTTAAATAAAGATCACCAGGTTATCTCCATTCCCCCAGTTCTGGCATTGCTGCCAGTTTTCAAGTGAGAGTAAGGAGGCTTCAGCTAAGGTCCGAAGAACCCTGACTAACCAGGCACTCACCAGCACGGGCTTTCCTTTTTGCTTTGTTAAGTGAGAACTCTGCAAGGCTGGAGTTGTGTGCAGAAGCTGAGTGGGCGGCCAGTTCTGGGCTCCATGAGAGCTGGTCCTTGGCTCCAGACCCCTTGCTTCTGCACACTGCCCTGGCCCCAGGCCTGCTGGAGCCCGTGGCGCTTGAGTTCTGAGGGGGGTCATCTAGAGTGCATAGACCTGAAGGCACGGGTGCTCTCCCTGCTGTTGAGGTCTGGGAGGAGTACTCAGCATGTGTAGGGGGTGGTGGGACCGAGAGGCCTGTGCACTGTGTTCTGAACATACCCAGGCAGCGGCCCTGTGCAGAAAGTGCAGGGAGGAGTGGTCCATTACAGGGGTGGCTCTCTGACTGTTGGGGTCACAGTGTGAATGGCTGTGAGTTCCTGCTCTTCTGGGAATGGCTTTCTAAGCAAGGTGGCATCTGAGGGCTGGACAGGATAGCAGTGGGTGTCTGTGGTCGAGGGGGTTGGTGGTTGGTGGTAGTAGAGAGGTGGTTGGGGTCAGTCAGCGCCACTAGAACGAGGGCCAGTCTGTTCACCCACCTGACTGCACAGTATGGCTGTGTTCCAAAGAGGGCGATGGTCTGCAAGCTGCGCACAGGTGGTTCCGTTTGTGAGCTTCAGACTTGTGGCCTTTGGCTGTCAGAAGTGCCACAGTAAGGGCTGGGGTTGTGGCTCGTGGGGGAGTGCTTGCCAGGCACGTGTGAGGCCCTGGGTTGGGTCCTCAGCACCACATGTAAATAAATAAAATAAAGGTCCATTGATAACTAAAAAAAGAAGTGCCACAGTAAATATGCTCACGTGTATGCATCTATGTACTTGTAATGTGTTTGTGGCGTGTTGCGTGTATGACATGTGTTCTTACATACTGGCACTCATTTCTATTCAGAGTGCATCAAAGACAGTAACCCAGAGCGCTGTCCCTGTATTGCTGAGATGAGGAGAGGTGCAGACAAAACTGCAATTAGGTGTCCTTGCCCCCTTTTCCTATGAGCACGTGTCGCATGTGAACCTGTAGGAAGAGGTCGGAGGAGTGCACCAGGGGCGCTGGGGGCTTCCAGCAGCACCTGCAGTGAAGTGAGCGAGTGCTCTTGGCATAAGGCCCAATAAAATGTGCACTGAGCTTCCACCTGTGATTGCACAGTGTGAACGCTGAAGATCGAGTAGGTTTGGGAAGAGGGCTGGAAGTGTGAGACAGATAGAAATGGGGTTTGCAGAAATGGAGCAGTGGTGGATGGTTTTGGCCTTTGCCTCTGTGGTTATGTGCAGTACTGTTTGTACTTGATTTTAGATGTGAGGAAGGCTGTTGGGCTGTGGTAGTAGGCCTGGAATTTGGGTTGACTTGCTTAGCCCCAGGGAGGCTGTGATGACCAGTTACTGGTGGTTTGCTCCTAGCTGCAGCCACACTGTGGAGGGGGGCTTCTGCGTACGGCAGTGTGTTGAGGCTGAGCCGGTTTTTTGATTTGGAATTAGAGATATCTGACAAAACCTCATTTTAAGGTTGGAAAGAAATATAATTGAATGGTTTTAGCATGTCAGCATTCACACAGGTGCTCAGGGAGCACTGGCTGGGAGGCCTACAGTTGGGTGGCAGGGTCACCACAGGTTAGGATGGACCTGCCTAGGTGTCTTCAGTGTTCTTTGGGCTTAAGGAAGGCTCTGGGTAGTTGCCTGAGACTTTACATTGCACCAGTAAAATGTGAAGCTGTCAGTGCTGTGTACTGTCTTCATGTTAAAAGACCTCTAAAAAACTTTTCATGTTAAAGTGTCTATGTCCGTCATTGATTTTTCAGTTGTCCTGGAGAATCATGTAGTGACAGATGAAGATGAACCTGCTTTGAAACGCCAGCGGCTAGAAATCAATTGCCAGGATCCCTCTATAAAGGTAAAAATATGCATATCTTTATGTGTATTGTGCTTAAGTGTTTTGTGCCATAATGGGGTGGCTTGAAACAACGGAAGTTTATTCTTTCATACTTCAGGAGGCTAGAAGTTCAAAATCAAGGTGTGGGCAGGGCCCCGCCCCCTTTTCCAGCTCTGGGAGGCTCCATTCTTGCCCACATCACTGCAGCCTCTGTCTAGGGCCCACCCTAATCTAGTCCAGGGTGGTTTCATCAATTTCATTACTTTTGCACAAACCCTTTTCCCAGTGAAGGCCGCATTCATGTGTTCTGGGAATTGGGACGTGCTGTTTCTGGGAATCATTATTCAGCCCACTGCAGAAGAGCATAGGCCATTTCTTAGTTGGAGAGAGTAACTGCTGTTAGACTGAGGCATCTTCCTGTGGATCCATAGGCCTGCTTTAGACGGGGGAAGATGACCAGTGCTGTGGCCGTGCTGCCCGTTGGTGACAGATGGCTTTTGTGTCTGTCATTGAAGTCCCCACATCCTGAAGTTGGAATTACTCAAGAAACTGTTTTTGGATCTTTGAATTTGCCTGTTTGGTTCCAGCATCTGCAGTGTCAGAGGCTTGTGTGAGGCTCTTTGAGAGCGGTGGATGTGGAAAGTGGTCCTGTTCACACACTGCCTCTACCCATGCTGTGTCTGTGTAGAAATGCTCCCTTCATTTTGTTACCAAGGAGTCTGAGCTTAAATGGATGGTTTAGACATACATTCACAGTGAAATTTCTACTTCAGACTGATGAATAGAGAAGATGGTTATGTTAGTAACACTGTATTATTTTAAAATAAAGGGTCTGGGGTTTAAGCGCAGTTTAATTTGTAACAAAAAACACGTTCATTGTCGATAATGTAGAAATGTTTAAAGTAAAAAGCAACGCAGGCCACCTCAGTTCTGGTGTGCCGCAGATAGGCCCTGGACAGGCAGGAGGCCGGGTCGTCCTTGGGCACTGCTGCACACGCATAGGCTGCTGTGTTGCTAAAAGCCCAGGCTGGCCCAGCCAGGGCCCTGGGCTGTTAATGAGAAGTTTTGAGCTGTTTATGGCCACTATCGCTTCCATGTAAGAGATATATTTAAAAATACTCTCCCGTACTCTTTCTTCATTTTGTTCTTTGGTAAGTAGTTTTATTACTGTGTCGCAGTGATTTTTGCCAAAACCCCAGGCAGAATTATTTATAATTTAGAATTAAAAAAATGTGGCTTTACTATGTTGAAAGAGTGGGAGGCAGATATTTGATGTCTTCAAATTATAAAAAGAGTGGGGTTGCTTTTATCTCAAGGATTCAGCCACAGTTGGTGCCCATGATGATGCCTGTCTCCCCTCACACTGACATTGCTTCTGCATTGGTGATGGCGTGTTGCGGGTGGACCCTGATGCCCATGGCTTATTTCCTCTTGGATACTGCTTTAGCGCCTGCTCCAGTAGAGAGCAGTTGGCATTGTGTGGATTTAAACAGTTTCTAGGGCTTTTCCTTTGCACAGTGCACTCTTTTTTAGGTAGTGCTGGGGGTTGCACCAGGGCCTTACCCTTGCTAGGCAAGAGCTCTACTGCAGCCACAGCCTAGCTCCTGCACAGCGCACTCTTGAGTGGAGTCTTGCAGGGAGCGTGGCTGAGTGGAAGTGAGGTGTGTGGACGGCGGGAGCTCCTCACTTCCTGCACACCTGGGCAGGAGGCAGAGGCACATGCTCTTCAGAGCAGCTCAGCCTGTCGAAGGTGCTCTGTCAAGAGTGTTGGTTCTCTTCACCCAGGTTTGATATCAGGAGTGTGACACAATGTCTGCTACTGCTATACTTTTGGTATTCTGTGATTGCCTCCAGCATGTGGGTCCTTCCACCTACCTGTGCCTCCAGGACCCACGTGCTGGAGGCAACCACTGCTGCTTCCTGGCCTATCTCCTCCCTTCCAGTGTGTCCACTTGGGCACTCAAGCCTTCAGTCACGGCCGACTAGGAGAGGAAAGAGACGAGACCATGTTCTTCCCATTCTTCGCTATTTTCAGTGTTGACCACTGGGGCCCTGCCACTAACCAGCACCTGAGCTCCAGTTTGGAGATCTCTGTTGCTGGTGGCTCCTAGCAGGGTGGCTGGTGGAGAGTAGAGTCCTCCTGCCTGTCCTGTTTCTAGCCTTTCTGGGTGTGGAGCCATGCAAGGTGGTGCTGACTCGTTGGTCTCAAGACATGTGGTGCTGCTTGTGCTGGCCACCAGGTGGCAGGCTTGCCGTTCCAAAATTTCACAGGAAGGTGGCGATTGGACTCACATCAGAGCACACGGCATCAGTCATCTTTTCAGGGCAGCTGGCATGATATGGGTATACAGGGCTTGTGGTTTTGGGCCCTTCCGGATGTTAGATGCAATCTGTTTTCATTGTTAGCTTTCTGTGTGAACTTACTGAGTAATACAGTAACATGTTAAGGACCCCATAAGTTGTTTATTACATGGGTTTGTGCAAACTGAGAATTGCAACTGCACAAGGAGTAAAACCATGATCAGGGAGTCATGTTTCTGCTGCAGAAGACTGCACTTGTTACATGCTTCTGGAGTGTGCCTGTAAAGCCAGTCCCATTGTAGGGGTGGTCTGCTGGAACATTGCCATCCCGCAGTAGCGGTTTGAAGTTCTTAGAGCTGCCTTCTCATAGTTGAGGATATCCTTCCTAAAGTTTCTCTTCTTCACTTCCAGTCTTTCCTGTACTCCATAAACCAGACAATATGCTTACGGTTGGATAGTATTGAGGCCAAGCTGCAAGCCCTGGAAGCTACTTGCAAATCGTTGGAGGAGAAGCTGGATCTGGTCACCAACAAACAGCATAGCCCTATCCAGGTCCCCATGGTGGCGGGCTCTCCACTTGGCGCCACTCAGACCTGCAACAAAGTGCGATGGTAAGGACAGAGGAGCTTCGGGCCACTGTGGGAAAAACGCTCAGGTCCTTGCCCGGGCTCCGGTTGTTACTTTGTCTGCCATAGATACTGGGTATCTGACTCCGTGGTTCCTAGCTGCTGATTTCACTTAGACCAAAACCAAATACAGGCTCCTTCTGGAGCTTTTCTTTCTGACACAAAGCTGATATATCTTTTCTGTGTACCTAACTACCAAATCTTTGCAAATCTTTGCAGACGTACATTTCTATCTCTATCTGACTGGTCTTTTAGATATTTTTTTCTACAGAGTTTATGTTTATAAACTTTCCATTCAAATCTGTAGCTTTTATTGTGCCTGTTAGAAAATATTTAGACCCTCATCTTAGAGACCTGTGAAGCAGTTGGTGCACTGTTTGTGTTGAAGCTCTGTGGGTAACTTGGTTGGATTGGAAAGATGTCTCAGGTCTTCCGCCTGCTTGTATTCTGCAGGCCCAGGCAGTGTGCCAGGAGGTGAGCTAAGATTCAGGCTCTGGGCATCAGTGACCATGAGTCCTGTTGGCATTGCTGCCCTTTCTCACAGCTGGCTAAGAAGAAGTCATGTTTGTGGCAGTGGGCAAGTTGTGTCTTTGTACTTGGTGAGGGCTTGGAATCCTCCTACTTAAGGCTGTTCTCTTGAGTCCATGGAAAGACAGCAGCCTCCTGCCCTGTGTTGATGGGTGACAGCGGGAACCTGACCTGGAAGGGCTGTAGTGGCCTTGATGATGGTGTGTCCAGTGGCTGCTATACCACCTTGCCCTTGTGTGCTGGTGGCCAGAGCAACATCAGGTGCTCTGTGGACTTCTGAGGGAGTGTGGGAAGGGAGAGGAGGGGCCTGGGGATGCTCAGAGATGCTCAGGAAGGCCAGGGCTTCACCTGTCCTGGTGTGTTTGGGGCAGCTCTGAGGACACCTACTGGCCTGAGGATTCACGTGCCTCCCTGGTATGTTTGCTGCACTGCCTGGTGGCCCTGATCTGCAGCTGGCACTGAAGGAATCTTGGCCTCTCAGGTCCCAACTGCCAGGTGAGCATCATTGCTGGAGTTTCTCTGAGGTAGGTGGGGCAGAGCTCACCATGTTTTCTCCTCACAGACGCTGCTGGCACGCTGTCTCTCTTAGGCTTGCACACCTAAGGACCCAGTACCATTTTAGTACAATTTTTGGAATACCCCTGTATTCTAAAATGTGATGTGTAGGAAGTAAGAATTATAAATAAAAAATTAATAGACTGTCCTAAATGTAATGTGAAGGTGGAATAAAAGGACAGTTGTATATCATATAAAGAAACACATTTTGTGCCAAATGGTCAGCCATGACGAGACCCTGTGCACTGCTGTTTGTGCTCATTTAGTGCAGATTGGCCCAGGGGCTATGCTGACGTTACAGATACCAGCTGCTGGGAGAATATTGCAGAATGGTGAGCAGGAAGTTTCAAATTAAAGGAAAGGATGATTTTCTTTTTAGACTTATAGTTGAGTTCCTGGAAAGTTCAAGTCATATTAAAACTGTGTAAAATGTTTTATGTTGAATGGACCAAGACTCTGGGTTCAGAGTCAGAAGTGTGTGCTGTGCCCAGGTGGTGCTTGGGAAGGCTCCGTCAGGCAACTGTCCCTGTGCTGGAGTGCATCTCAGCCTCCTTGGCTCTTGCCAGGAAATCATGGCGGTGTCTCTCCCGTGGCTGCCACCTCGGCCTGCATCTCGTCACCTCTGCTCATTGCTCTAGGGTGAAACAGAAGGGTACAGCAGCCCCTGCCCTGAGAGCCTTGTGCGTTTGTTCCCAGGATGGTGCCCCAGGCTTCCGTTGCTCCTGCTCTTGTGTTTGGGGCGGGCTGACCTCATGAGCCAGGGAGAGTGGTGTCAGATCTGTAACTGGAATCCCACCATCAGTGTTTGGTGGTGGTCTTGTCTGGGCTAGGGAGGGAGTTGACCCATGTGAGGAGGAGCTTAGAGAAGGAGGAGCGCCAGCTGTGGCTCAGCTTTGAGCGCCTTGTTTAGGAGCTCCATCTTACTGGGCAAGGTGTGCAGGACTCTGGGTGTCACTGTCACCCTGCGTACATGCTCAGCCAAGCTGTGCAGCTGCTTCTTGGTCTGGTTTATTCATATGCAAAACAAAGACAGGAAGTGACATCCAGGGTCCTGCAGGTGTGGTGGTGACCAGGTCCAGGCTCGCTGAGACTTTAGGATAGGTTAGAACCCCATCCCAGGACATAGTGAAAGTCACTAATGCGTAGACACGTTTCATCAAATGGGAGTTACATCGAAGATGTGGGCAGCAAACTGTGGAAATGTCTCCCAAAGCAGGTAAAAATTGGTTGACCTTTGAGTAATAAGGTACTTCTATGAATTGTTTATTTCGGACCTCAGATATTTAAAGTGAAAGCAGTATATAGATCAGCTTGTCTTCTTTCTTTCTTTATTTATTTATGGTACTGGGGATTGAACTCAGGAGCAGTCAACCACTGAGCCACATCCCAGCCCTATTTTGTGTTTTATTTAGAGACAGAGTCTCACGGAGTTGCTCAGTGCCTCGCAGTTGCTGAGGCTGGCTTTGAACTCATGATCTTCCTGCCTCAGCCTCTGGAGCTGCTAGGATTACGGGCAAGTGCCACCTCGCCCAGCTAGCTTGTCTTAAGTCAAATGCTGTTAAAAACACCTATAATTCCTTGGGCCCACCGCTTGTTTGTGGTTTAGATTTACTGAGAACTGGGTGTGTTATCTCACAAATGAAGGCAGGTCCATGGGGATCTTTGAGATGTAAGGAGGCCTCTGGAGCTGCTTTAGCAGCTGTCCCCTGGGAGGCCACGAGTCCTTCATTTGCAGAGTGTGTATGTGGCCCAGACCCTACAGCCAGGAGCATGCACCACTGAGCCCTTTGCACACACAGGTTCACTCTGCTTGTTGGTAATTTCTAGTTAAAACTGGCCTGGACCAGTCTGCTATCAACAGAGTTATTTACTTACTCTTTTCCCTTCTTGGAATGCAGAGATGGTGGAGTACTGCCAGCCTTGGCTGGCATTTCAGATTCAGATTTTCAGATTCTACACCTGGATGAAATTCTTTAAATAAATTCAAGGAAAAAAAGAGAAGAAAAGTCCCGTTTTCTTTGAAGTTAGAGCTTAATCCTTGTAATCAACTTGTTTGTGAGGTTGGTTGGAATCTGATCCAGCAGTGGTGCTCCACTTGAGGATAAAGAAAATGGTCTTGGATTCTCTGAAGTGAGCATTCTTTTCCCCCTTCTGTTAACTTCTTTGAATTCATAGATTTTATGTCAGTGTGCCATAAATTCAGATTTTGTGTGATTTCCATTCTGTGGGCAGAGACGTGAAGTTGTGACCTTGAAGCTGCTTGGAGGAGGGGAGGGAGCCGTGGATGCTGAGGTGCCGTGTGGAGAGCGAGGCTCAATGAGGCCCCCTCTCGTGCGCCGACAGGTGCTTTTCTACAGATGTGAAAATCGTTTTCCTGTACTTCTTTAGGGCTAGACACAGACATTTGCAGAAAGCCCGTTGTGGACGTCACAGCGAGCCTGGAGTGCTGGAGTGAGCGCAACTCGGGCCTGGGGCTGCGACAGCAGCTGCAACTCAGCTGGGCTGAGAGAGTCCCCTGGGCCTGTGGCATCCTGAGGAGCTGGCACCTTGGTGACTCTGTGCAGCTTGGCCCAGGTGTTTCCTTCCTCTTCCCTCCCTCCTGTCGCCCATTTTGCTGTGTTGCCCAGCTGACCTTGAACTCTAGACCCTAGTTCGCCTCGTGCCTCAGCCTTCCAAGTGCTGTCACTGTGGACACTGCCATGTCATCCACTCAAAGCCAGGGGCTTCTGCCGTGTGGGTTTTATTAACTGAGCACATTGACTTAAAAAGTTTGTGTTTTGTTATTTTTAAAAGGAATTTATTTATTTTTTAAAATTAAAAAATCTTGTTTGTATTTCTACAATGTAAAAGCATTTGTAATAAATAAGAGGTTTCTGTACAGTGCTAGTCCTCAGAGTTTAAATAAAAGTGATTTAAAGTCTCTCTTTCAGAGAGATGAGTACCATGAAATTTATGGAAAGGGAATTGTTTTCTTTCTTTTCCTCAGAACTGACCGTTGACCTGGAGTGATCAAGAATGATTTAAATTAAACGATTTAAACCTTCGGCATGCTGGTTGCTGATTCTATTTCCCAGAGGATCTTTTGTTCTACATGTGGATGGATGTTGGTGAATAGGCTTTTCTGTACACCCTCCCTAACCCCCACTCTCCCCTGTAGACATTTGGCTTCTTGGTAGAGCTCAGCTCATGCTGAGCATCACTGTTGTGGCCACTGGGCACTTGAGGGTCTTGGCTTGGGGACACTGCCTGTTCCCATGATGGGGCCATCGATATTCTTGGTCCACAGTCAAGCATTTCATGGGCTTTAGGATGTGGCAAACTCAAGGCAGGGCTGAGTGAATTGGGAGAAATGGTTTGATCTTGGTCGTGACAGATTTGTTTAAACCTTTCTTATCTAATTTTGAATTTCGGATGTTTCTGTTTGATTTTATGATTCCTTTTCCTGGACTACACTCTCTTGCACAGCTGTACACTTTGGTGGCCTGATTGTGATCTCCTGTGCATGTCAGAGCTGGGTGCTTGCCCGAGGAAGCATGAGGTCCACATGCATGCACCCTAGTGGATCAGTGACATGGTCAGATGACAGAGGCCGTCTAACAGCTAGGGCTGATAGTCACCGTGGGCAGACATCTCAGCAGAGTGTGTGTGTTCCCACGATCTGCAGCTCTTCTCTAGTGTCAGCATCTCTCATAACTCGTGGATGGGACCGTGTTGACTAGATCATTCTGGAAAGAACTGCCATCCCGAGAGTTGAGACCTCTGGGTCATGAACCTGTCGAACCACTTCATTTATTCAACTCATTAATTTCTTTCAGCAGTATTTTTACAATTTTCAGAGTATAGCAACTGCAAATATATCATTAAATTTGTCTTCACATACTTTGTACATGTAGATTCTATGT